AAATGCTTCATTACGAAGACTCCTGTGCACACTATTCAGAGTTTTCTCTAAAGAAATATCGAGGTGTACAAAGAGTGTGGGGTTTCTGGTTCTTGAACAGCACTTGATGCACATTCGGCATTCCATCTGGTAATTCCCTCCAGAAGATATGCTTGAAATGAAACAGCGTTGGCAGCAGTACCTTATAACGGAAAATATGCATTTGTCCGGAATAATGTCATGTGGTGTACTTATCTTAAAGCTGAGTATTTGACAGAGGAATGTTGGCACGACCAGCTCAGCCAGGATTTGATCCTTACCATCCTAGTGTGCCATCACAAATTTTAAAAAAAGTAAATAAGAGCAGGAGCTGTACATTCCACTATGAGTGGTATAATACAAACCAGATTTGAAGCAGTTTTATAGTTCAGATTTTCAAGGAAAGGAGGGAAAGACGCATACATGGGTTTATCGATCTGCGTTAAGCCTGTGAAATGAAAAGAGTTACAAAACATCAACGGTGTGCTTACCTGGAATAAATCGTGCCAGATGTAGATGAAAACTTTCCAGGGAAGTAGTTCTTCGGGCACATCTCATCACTGGTAGTTTGACTCCACCCTTAGTTATATGCCCCGTTATGATGTATAATGGAATTCCCGGTGGATCCTAGATGCATGAAGTGTGTCGCTTCTGTTCAGGCCACACAGATGATAACATGTCTTCCCTGAATAATGGAACACCAAGCGCATATGTCGCAGAGGACATGTAATAATAATAATAATAATAATAATAATAATAATAATAATCTTTATTTGTTACCTTTGGCGATAAGAATTACGGTAATATTACAATAAAAATTCAAAACACTACATATTGTATATACATATCAAATCAAGTTAAGTTTAGCACCTCTAGGAACAAAAGATTGTTTGTGCCTAAAAGTGCGTGATACAAGTATTCTGAGGTGCGCTGGGTTAGTCTTACAATATCTTAGATTATGGCCATGATCCACTGGCTTTTCTAAAAAACGTTTACAAGGATGTGCTTCAGATTTTAGGATACGTTTAAATTCTTTCCTCGTCAAATTCTGACGCCTAGTTACAAGTGACTCAACAGTATCCCAAGGGAGACCAATGACATTTAGACATCGATTCTACACTCTCTGTAGATCTTCTTCGAGGTAAATGGGCAGCCCTCCCCAGACAGGTGAGGCATATTCTAAAACAGGTCTAATCTTAGTGATGTAAGTTGTAAGACCAATGTCCCTGGGGAGATGGGCTGTTCTACAGACCCTAAGATAGTGGATCCGTTTACACGCTTTGCTGACAATACTTGAGACGTGTATTCCACTCGAGATCGTTCTGTACATATACACCCAGTAGTTTACACTCTGAAACCCTCTCCAGTTCAGTAGGCCCGATATTAATAGGAGCATGAATTGGACAGGACTTTTTGAAGGTGATCCACATATCTTTGGTCTTTTTAGCATTCAGCTCCATTTTATTCTGCACAGCCCATCTTTCCATTAACATTCCATTAACAGCCCATGTTTACCATTAATGAATCAATAAGTTGAGTTGCCTCTCCAGTCCCTCTCGTTCAGCGACGGCAATGGCGGGCCATTTCCTCTTTCTTCACTTCCTTTTTTTACGGCTCAAATATACAGCGCACGAGGCTCTCTATAAAAACGCTGTAAAGAGGGTGGCTCTCACTGTTGCAGGCTAAAGCAAGACGCCGCATAAAATGGAAAATGTCCAAACGAACAACCATGTTGGACCAACCACTGAATAGGGAGTTAAATTTCGACTGACCCTGAGTTCCACAACAATCCCTGTCAATCACCAATCACCAATCCTCTGGTGGTTTCACCCCAGCAATCTCGAACCATTTCACTAGCCCATTTGCCATCGGTTTAAGAGAAGATGTGCTCTCTGGTGCTGTTAACACAGATATCATAATCTCACCCCTTTCATTACCGATGTTTGTTGCCCAATTCGCACTCTCAGCTTCGACACCTGACACCTTGACTACTTTTTTCGTAGAATCAACCTTTAAGATAGTCCCATAGACAGACGTAGCTGTTGCCATTAGAAGATCGAGCCGATTGTACACGTCGCGGAAATAGCGAGCTAGAAACCATTTTGCCGCTGGGATGTTTTTCGTGGGATCTCCTATGGCGCTCACACCTGCTCAGGTAACTTGTGCACTTCCGCATCCACTCTTCGCTCATTGAATTTTTTTTTTAATGGAAGTAGAACTGTTGCCGAGAGAACGAGCTCAGAGAAGGGAAACCACGGACACGACTGGAAATAGGGCCCTTGTATCGTGAGAGAGCTGCTGAAGTAGCCGGGCATCCCAAGCTATTTTGTACCCTTGCAAGAACCACAAAAGTGGTTCTCAGCAGCCAAGTAATAATAGTCCTTACATCCAGGACCAGTCTCACTCTCATGTACAACCCCTTCGACTGCAACGATCTCGGCGGTTCAGTGCATCTTGGACACTTCAGATCAACCCTCCACAT